AAACCATTTCAGGTGACTACCTCTTGAAGCTCATGGAGAGAATGCCAAGAGTGTGCAAAGCAGTAATCAGAGCAAAGGGTGGCTATTTTGAAGAAACTAGAATATAAAACATGTTTTCAGTTATTTCACCTTTTTTTGTTAAGTACATAACTCCACATGTGTTCATTCATAGTTTTGATGCCTTCAGTGAGAATCTACAATGTAAATAGTCATGAAAATAAAGAAAACACATTGAATGAGAAGGTGTGTCCAAACTTTTGGCCTGTACTGTACATATTTCTTAATTTAAGAAAACAATACTGCAACATAATAGGGGTTACAGCTAAAAAGATTATTTCTCATTTCTTTAATTTGTGAACAACAGTAACTCAGAACAAGATTCAGGTTCTGTATACAATATTAATTGTTCAGCAACATAAAATCTACCACAAATTACACATTTAAACAGCTCACAAATACAAAAAAATGTACCTTGGGATCTGTATAAATCAACAGGTGATTTCCTTCTCTTTGAGCAAAATCCTAAATGATTGAGATGGGTTTTTTTTTCCCACCTGGAAATCAACAGGTGATTTCCTTCTCATTGAGCAAAATCCTAAATGATAGCAAAATCCTAAATGATTGAGATGTTTTTTTTCCCCACCTGGACCTTTATGCTCTGCCCTCTCCTCTAATCATCATGCTGTAACATATGCTGTACCATAACTATCGCACATTCACATATATGTAGTTTGTCGAGCTGCAAGCGTCACATAGGTTTACATTACCAAAGGTTTAAGTACTTGACTGTACTGACTCCTGTGTGGGCATGGCGAGAGAGGAGAGGGAGAGATGCTGAGCTGCTGCCGGCAGAGTTGCTGTTCCCTCTGCAGGGATGGTTACTGTGATAATTTTGCTTTCCGCCATGCTTGTTGTTGCTGTGGGTAACAGTATGACGTCAATATGTCAACAAGCCAAAATATCACAAGTGACATGATATGAATTCTTCATATGATATTAAAAAATATGCAGGTATTATTGTGAACGAGATGATATGGCCTACCCCATTTGATACATTTTTTATTAACCGCATATGTTTTAAAAAAGGCATGTGTAGTGTCTTGACATAATATTCATATACTAAACACACATAGTAATACTAGAATGAGCTTGATGGCTGCCTGCTGCTGCTGCCTGCAGCCTCCAGGGCTGGAAGATATATTTTAATCTTAACTAGGATTAGAATAATAAAATGCTTCAAGATTTATCCAAGTATCCACTTTTATTGAACTCAAAATATGATAAGAGTAGCATTGAATCAAATCAAATCAAATCATCAGATCATGCCAAATCAAATTAGAATTGCAGCTTTAGTGTTTCTATGCCTCTGCGCACCAGTCAGGTTTCTCTTACATTTACATCCATGTCTGTGAAAACATGAGTGCTTCACTTCACAGAAGATCTATACAATCAACGCAGTTTCAAGGTGGACACCCAAGATTAGTGTCACCAATTTAGTATCTGACCAAATGTCTCTCCTTCTGTTCCTGAGATATGATGTCGCGTAATAGCCAGAAAAAAGGAATGAGACGGATGCAAGGTCACATTTTACCTTGACCTTTGACCTATGACCACCAAATCTAATCAGTTCATTGTTGAGTCCAATTGAATGTTTGTGCCAAATTTAAAGAAATTCTCTCAAGGCATTCTTGAACTACTGCGTCTATGAGAATGGGATGGACAGACAACTTGAAAACATAATGCCTCTGGCTACCACTGTTGCTGGCACAGAGGTATAAAAATGTGTTTATTGTGCCCTTCGGGTGGCCAAACACTTCCACTCTTTAAACAGTATTTCAGAAACCACAGTTACAGAAACTTGTAAAAATCTGTGCTGTTACAGCACTTCCCACCAAGTCGTATCAATCTATATTTAACTGCAGCTCCCGAATCAGTGAAATGCCATCAAACTCTGCACTTCAGCAACAGACAATGTATACTACAACCGTTTTGTTGAAGTATTCTTTTGGTTTACTGTTTAGTAGCATATCTTTTTAGTTTTATTACTTGAAAGAAAAACCTCACTTAAAAGGCTGCAGGAATAAATGACAATTTTAATGTAATGTTTGTGCACGTGTGAAGTGCTTGTTTTGTTCCTAGCATTTCCTCAGAGCTCTGACTGGACTTCTGTTGATCATCATGAAGCTCTGGTAGCTCTGAGTGATTGGAGGTGTTCAATGTGACAGAAAAAAGTATTATACAGGTCTTAATTATTAATGTCTCAGTAAATACACATTCCTGCATGCTTTCCTACGGACTGTAATCAAGTGTAGTTTTTAAAAACACAGAATCAACTTGAGAATGGTAGTTGTTGACATGAGAGTGGCTCTCATAGCATGTATTTCACATTTTGAAAAACTGCTAACCATGTCCCTTGCTTATGAACATATCTGTAATTTTGAGGCATTTTGTTGCACTGTCCTGCAGGGTTTTTCTCCTTTTAATGCACTCCCTCTCACTTCCATTTTTGTCTTTCTCTCCTCTCTTTCTCCTGTGCTGTCCTTTATTTTCTTCACACTACTCAGTCATTGCGTACAGTGTGCAACATTCAATCATTGCGCACTGTACGCAATGATTGAATGTTGGGTTTCTGCCCTCTGTTGTTTTCGCTATGATTCATTCATTTCACTCTGCATTTTTTTGCCTCTGCGCTGGTGATAGCTGTGGCCAGAGGCATTATATTTTCACATTGTTCATCCGTCCACTATGACCTCATTTGTTTCATTCTCGTGAACATGACATCTCAAGAACACCTTGAGGGATTTTTTTTCAAATTTTGCATAAATGTCCACTTGGACTTAAAAATGAACTGATTTGAATTTGGGTGGTTGAAGGTCGAAGGTCATGGTCAATGTGCCCTAAAAAAAAAAACGAACTATGAGACAGTATATATTCAGTGTAAAATATCAGCAACAACAAGATCTCTCAACACTAAAAAAGTAATAAAGTGTTTGCATTGCCTTGTTCACCCTGTTGTTATGATTTCATATTTGAAGTTGGCGTTTGTTTTCCTAAGTCACAGTTTAACTTCAGTGGACCTTGTGTATGGTTTCCTGCATGTGCAGAATACTACAATACATTTTGTTGTGGATTAACTAGTGACTTCTAGTGACTTCTCAGCTAATCAGTAACATGTTTTGTGTACAGGTGCTAAAGTGGTCTGACTACTGTCTTCCTCTGGCCTGTAGCCCTGGACAACCGTTCAGGGCAGTGGCTCAGGCCAGTGTAGATAACTTCAGTCGGTTGGGTGTGGCTTTTATTGAAGATCGCCTTCAGCTGGATGATGGACTTATGCCTTCAAAAATAATCCGTACGTTTCCTTCATTTACATTTTATATTTACTCTTTTTATAATTAATTGTGTTTTTATTTTACCACCTTGAAACACCCTACTTTTGTGTTAATTCATCTCTTGCAATGCACATTTCATCCAATGCATTATGCATGATGTTCTACTCAGTGGGTAGACAGATAGCTAGACAGATAGATAGAAACTTGATTGATCCCCTGGGGAAATTCAGGTAGCCCATGCAATCTGTATTAACATAACTATAAATTAGAAACAAAATCATTTATGATTTTCAAATCATTATCGTAAAACTTCAATTAATAGCGTGCTATTATTTCCATAAATCACTGAAATCAATGGGCCTATATTTGGGACAGGCCTTTAATTCCTCTCATGCAAAATTGTTGATTAGCAAAGATGGGAAATACTATCAAATTGTTTATTTAAACCAGTATAAATACAAAAGAGGGGTTGGTTTACTGAATACCAAGTGTGTGACCTCAGTGATGATGAATGAATGAACCCTTAGGTGCTGGCTCTATGGATAGTCAGTCTCCACAGGTTGTCCGGTAAGAACAAGATGAGGATGGCCAATAATAAATCCAGTTCACACACTAACTGGCATGCCACTCATTTATTTTCGGTTGGTTGTCAACAAGGAATAAAATCTGTATGACTTATATTTACTGCTACTGCTCCAGTAAACTCTGAGGGAACACTAAATAAATATTGAACGGTCCCTTAGCAGATCAGAGCGCTCACTGCTCCTCTAACATAAACAAAACTCGGACGTCGCAGCAATATAACTAATTAACATTAATGATATTGTATACAGAGAATGATAATAAACAGGAATAAATAAACAAATAAACTTTTGTAAAAAAGGTCTGATAGACACACTCTACACTGCCTGCCCAGCACCAAACACACTGACAAAGTTAGGGACTAAACATCTAAGGAGCCAGATATGCTACCTGCAGGATGTGTAAACAGACAATAATTTGCTAACATGTTTGCACATGAACTTTGGCTTGACAGGATGACACCCCCCCCCCCCAGGATAGTTGTATTGTTTTTTGGGAACATAATGTAACTCATCAGATTGTACTGATATTTTTGTACATTTTTGTAATATTCCTACAGCTGTCCTCCTCCAAGACTCCACTCTCAGTGAGCTGTTGAAGAAGCAGTGTCCACAGAGCCCAAAGAGTGCGACATCATTATGTCTCTGCAGCACCCAGACAGAAGAGGGTGTCCTTGAGCCTTTTCCTCATCACCTGTCAGCTGACCACCAGCACCTACAGTGCCGTAAAGGCAGCCTCCTCCTCACCCCGGAAGTAAAGAGGAGGTTAGAGGAGCGACGAGGGTCAGAGCCGCTCCGCGGCACAAAGGATCAGGAACCTGTTAGTGACCCGGAGGACCATTCCTTGGGGAATCATCACCACATGGAGGGCCATAGACACCACCTCCATCTGTCCAGCTGCCATGAATGTTTGGAGCTGGAGAACAGCACGATCCTCTCTGTCAAATATGCTTCAGCTGAGAACATTCCAGACCTTCCTGATGATAACTCAGTGGGGCTAGATAATGGAGATGAGACTTTTGATGATGTTGGTCATGATGCCAAAGGGTCATCTGGCCAAAGGGGCAGATTTGACTGTAATAGCAAATCGCCAAATATTCTGCTGTACACAGGTGGTTGTCAGGAGCGTTTTCAGGCAGTTCGTCAGCTTTTATCAGAGTGTTTAAACATGGAAAACAACGTAATCTATCCCCTCCAACCACAGCAGGCTCTGAGTGACCCTTGGCTGGACAGCACCAGGCTGTTGGTAGTGGCAGAGGAAGAGACCCTGACACCCCAACTTCAGACCCGTTTTCTTACCTACCTGAGCCAGGGTGGCAGAGTCCTGGGGTTAGCCTCTACCCTTTGCCCAGCAGGCCTCTGTCTGGAAGTCAGGGAGAGGCGACGTGGGCAGGTCGGCAGGCTTAGCTTCACCAGGGAGGACAGCACAGAGCTGGAACTGAGCGTGTTGGCGACTGGGAAGGTCTACATCAGGGATACTCAAGGGGGAGGGGAGGTAGAGCTCTGGGGGGAGCTGAAAGGGGATGTCCCTCATCAGAGAGATATGGTTGTGGTCAGGGTAACTCATGGCGGGGACGGCGGGGAAGCTGTCCTCTGTCAGGTAAAGTCGTTTGACATTATTGAAAGTAATGTTTGTAGTTGTTTACAGGGCTGTATTTTTTAATGTTAAAGGTTTAAAGTTTTATTTGTCTCATCTTCATATGACTCAGTGGCCACTGTATTAGGTGCACCTGTAAACTCTACTACAATCCAATACAACAGCTCAGTAATAAATTCTACCAGTATGAAGAGGAAAATGTTCAGTTTTGATTGACACTGCAAAAGAGGTATAGAGAAAAGGATTGTGATGTAAGTGGTAGTGAGCAGCGCAAAGCATTGTGGGACTTTAGGGCACAGCAGCTATAGTACAGACTGAATACTATAAAATGACGTGGTTGACTTTATATCTCATCTGATTCGAAAACATGGTATGGTGAACATTTTTTGCATTATCAACTGCCATAACCATTCCCCACCCGACCCATAATCAAATGCGTTAATCTATATATA